ATAGAGTTATATGGGGAAAAGTATTTGCTGCACAATACAAGTTAGGAACTGGTATTTTCTCCTTCCCTTTACTCCCATTCCCTAATGTAATTTGGAATGACTGCCTATTCTTCCTGTTTTCCTCCACCTCCCCATTCCCTCCCTTGTGGTAAAGTTTAGCCCGTAATCTCCTCAGGGCAGGAATCTGTCTTCCTTTACTCTGGCCATGCACCATGGCAATGCTATGAAATAAATAAAAAGGGACTGGCGCTGTGAGGGCATTGCCAGGTGTCGGTGAAAAGAAGGGAATCCTAATTCCCCCTTCCCTTGGAAGCTCCAAAAGTCCTTTCCCAGCTTCCTGCTTGAGCTGGGATGGTTATTATCACCACATTTTCCTGCTTTCTAGAAAGATTCCGGCATGGTTTTCAAAATTGGCCACTCTACTGGGAAAGTTTTGATGGGTTCCTCCAACTTAAGCAATTCTTCCTGTAATAGGTCATACATGTGTGGGGAAACACGTTCTCCCCCAGCAGTGTAGTACCAAAAGTTGCAGCCCCACAGGGTAATTGTTGGGTTTGCACTCTGTGCAGGCACAGAAGTGATACAATGCTGCTTGCTGGTTAGTAGGAAGGAAGCTGATGCTCAAGTTGGCAGAGGTGTTCGTAGCCTTTGAAATATGGATGACCCTAAGAACATAAGAACATTGCTGGATCAGGTCAGTGGTCCATCTAGTCCAGCATCCTGTCTCACACAGTGGCCAACAAGTTCCTCTGGAGGTTCAATGACAGGGTACAGAGGCCAAGGCCTTCCCCTGATGTTGCCTCCATCCTGACACTGGGATTCAGAGGTTGACTGCCTCTGAATGTGGAGGTTCCCCTCAATCAGCATGGCTAGTAGCCACTGACAGACCTCCATGAATCTGTCCAATTCCCTTTTAAAGCTGTCTATCTCTGTGCACATCACTCAATCCCCTGGCAACGAATTCCACATTTTAATCACCTTGTTTGAAGAAGTATTTCCTTTGGTCTGTCCTGACCACTCATGAGCTTCATTGAATGTCCTTGAGTTCTATTATTTTGGGAGAGGGAGAAAAATTCTTTGTCAACTCTCCACCTCATGCATAATTTTATAAATCTCTATCATATCCCCCCTTAGTTGTCTCTTTTCTAAACTGAAAAGTCTGAGACTCTTCAGCCTTTCCTCATAGGAAAAGGCGCTCCAACCCCCTAATCATCTTGGTTGTTCTCTTCTGTACTTTTTCCAGCTCTGCAATGTCCTTTTTGAGATACAGTAACCAGAACTGAACACAGTAATCCAAATGAGGCCGCACCATGGATCTATATAAGGGCATTATAATATCAGTCATCATTTTCAATCCCTTTCCTAATAATCCCTATCATAGAGTTTGCCTTTTTCACCATTGCAGCACACTGGGCTGTTCATTGAGCTGTCCATTATGACCCCAAGATCTTTTCAATCTCAGCAAGTTCAGACCCCTTTAGCCTATATTTGAAATTGGGGAGGTTTTTTTGTCCCAATGTGCATCACCTTACACTTACCGATATTAAACTTCATTTGCCACATTATCACCCACTCACCTAGTTTGAGGAGATCCTTCTGGAGCCCTTCACAGTGAGTCTTGGTTTTCACCGTCCTAAATAATGTTGGGTCATCTGCAAACTTGGCCACTACACCACTCACCCCTAGTTCCAGATCATTTATGAATAAATTAGATAGTACTGGCCCCAATACTGATCCTTGTGGGACCTCACTGCTTACTCCTCCATTGTGAGAACTGTCCATTGATTCCTACTCATTGCTTCCTGCCATTTAACCAGTTTTTAATTCATAAGATCCTCTTATCCCAATGACTGCTAAATTTATTCAGGAGTCTTTGGTGAGGTACCTTGTCGAAAACCTTTTGAAAGTCTAAGTCTACCGTTTCACTGTGGTCTGCATGCTTGTTCACTTTCTCAAAGAACTCCAAAAGGTTGGTGAAGCAGAACTTCCCTTTGCAGAAGCCATGCTGATTTCCCCCCAGCAGGCTTTGTCCCTCCATGTGCATAATAATTCTCTCTTTGATTAGTTTCTACTCATTTTCCCAGGACAGACATTAGGCTAATTGGCGTGCAGTTCCTGTTTCCCATCTGGATCCCTTTTTAAAAATTGGTTTAGCATTTAGTACTCTCCAGGCTTCTGGTGCAGCAGCCGAGTTTAGTGATAGGTTAGACCAGGGGTCATTTCGCAGAAAAAGAGCTAGGGGGACTCATTAGCATAACTCATTAGCATATGCCACACCCCCTGACATCACCGGAAGTGACCTCCAGTGGGCACCAGCAGGGAGCTCCAGGCCCCGCCCTCCCGCACCTCACCCGGGGGATGGCGTCCCCCCACGTCCCCCCCCCCAAATGACCCCTGGGTTAGACAGTGTCATAGACACAATGAACATGAAATTGAGCAAACTTCAGAGGACAGCGGAAGACAGGAGGGCCTGGCGTGATGTGGTCCATGGGGTCACGAAGAGTCGGACTTGACTGTGCGACTGAACAACAAAAAATGGCCTGGTGTTGCCTTTGAAGCAAAGGCCATCAGGGAAAAGTGAGAGCTTAGCAATGCCTTCATTGGTCTTTCCCACTGGACTCAGAGTTTGTTCTAGTCTTTCCCAAATCATCAGGAAAGCCATGAGTTCTTTTGTTCAGTATTGTCAGAATAACAATTTAAGAGGTTAACTATTCAAAAACTAAAGTAGTGCTAAATACATGGATATTTTGTTTCAGGAGGCAATTTAAAGGACTGAGCTAAGTAGTACTGATCTTTTGACTATGGAAGGAATGGTAACTGTTCTCTAACTTTTTATCAAGAGGTCTTTTCTCTCTAAAAATAGTGACCATTTTTCCAATGGATTGAATAGTTCCCTCTCATTACAGCTCTTGTTGAAGAAGACTGTACATTTCTCTAGTAAAATGTAATACCAGACTATAGCATACCAAGAGGCGGTTGCTCGTTCCTGGTGGTTTCCTGTTCAGGTAATCCCATAGTATTTCATACAAGCATGCGTATCTCGTGGGTGGGGTTAATATCCTTGTCATATATACCATGCTTTTAGTTTACCACTGCACATAAATAAACCATTTAATCTCTATCAGGTTACTTTGGAGTCTTCCTCTTCACAACAGCCTCTGACCCACCGGAGTGACTACTGAACCGGTTCCCCAGCTTTGGGCAGGAGAGAAGTTGCTTAATGCTGCTGAGAGCCAGTGACTTGCAGTCCATATGATGGAAAGTGGGCTGATGAGGCCTGGGGTACAAACCCCACTTCAGACACAACACACAGGAACATCTGGCCTACCTTATCTCACAGGGTTGCTGTGAGGATGAAATGTAACTGCACACCCTTCAGTAGAGACGCGACAAAAGACAATATTCAAGAAGTGGCTGCGTGGCTAAAAAGGGTTGTCGCAGCCTGCCCTGCAATGGCCCACAGTCACCCCCACGGCTTCTTTACAGCAGCACAGAATCAGTCTAGTGGGGGGCTGCAAAGAGTGCTTGCAGATTCCTCCAGTAGGGCAGGGGGGAGAAGCTGGCCACACAACCAGAAGTGACATCACACGATGCCGTGACATCATTTCCCTCCCCCTCCAGTTTCTACTTGCTGCTTCACTGGTCATTGGGCAGAAGGGTTCCCAGTAGAGCGGGGTCCAGGGCAAGAGCCAGATACCTGAGGTGGATGGCAGAGGCGAAGAGAGAGAGACTGCCACAGGCAGCGGGAGAAGCCTCAGTCTGGGTGTGGAAGGGCTCCCGGGACAAGCACTGAAGAAAGCTGCTTGCTGCAGCCCAGCACTGGACTGAGGGAGGGGGAAGGACCCATCCAGAGGAAAACAGCAGCTGTCTTGGACTGAGGAAGTGCCCTGTTCCATTTGGATACCTTGTCTGCCCCAATAGAGACCCTGATGCCTTCTTTCCCTTTGACTTGTGCTGCTTGCTGTGATGTATCTGTCCACGTTCCCCAGCCTTCCTCAGAACTCCCTCCCACAAGTATATTTTCAAATGAAACTCACCACAGGAAGAGAAACCTTTAATACAAACACACATCTCCACACACTGAAAACTTCCCCCCCAACCACACATGCAATGTATGGTGGGTGGCCAAAGGAGGAAATTTTACATTACAAAAAGGGGACAGGGGAAGGGTTAAACACCCCCTTCCATTGGCACTGCTCCCCCATTTCACATCTGCCCACACAGCTGTGTTGAACAAAACTTGAAAGGGTGTGGGGCAGCTGACAAATGATTTCCAAACCTACTATCTAATTTTCCCTCCAGAAGAAAGAAAGAATGAGCAGGGTGTGTGTGTTTCCTCTCCACAGCTGGCAGAGATTGGGGGTGGGAGAGAGAGAGAGAGAAAAAAATGGGCTGAAGGCAGGATTAAGGGGTATGAGGGTTAGCAGAAGCCTGATGGTCTGTTTAGATCCTTCTTAAGTTCAGACCTGTTACCATTTAATACTTATTTAATATGCAAAATGGGATCTTGGCCTTTAGAAATCAGCTAGAAAAGAAAGAGGGAATGCTGGGAAACGGAGGGAAAATGGGCTCAATTGTATTTATCAGTTTTGCTGATTGGAACCCTATTGAAAATCTTTGCAGATCTACAGAACAGGAGTCTTAAGAAAAAAATATTTTTATTAATGGCCCCAGTGAGAAATGACTGTCTTTAACAGAGTTGGAGGTGGCCTTCTAAACGCACCCAAAAGGAGGGCAGGAGGGTCTCTCCAGGGAAGGGGGCTCCAGAGAACTCGTAGAGAAGGGCTGCTGTGTCAGTGTCAAAAAAGGCCACTCGCCCCCCAGTGTAGTTCAGACACACTCGGATCTTCTTGAGCTCCCCACTCAGGGTCAGGAGAGGAGCATGGTCTTTTTCAGAAGCCTTGTAGCTGCCCCCCCCACCTCCCAGAACCCTCCCTCAGGATCATTGTCAAGAAACAATTCCTGTCTAGGCCAGTTTGAAGCAAAATCCTGGAGGTTTTTTGTCATCTCTTCGATATTTGTGCAGGGGGTTGGACTAGATGACCCTGGAGGTGCCTCCCAACTTTATGGTTTTGCCGAAATAAAGAGAAACTGATGCTGTGAGTGTGTGTCATTTGCTGTGATGTATCTGCCTATGTTACCCAGCCTTCTCAGGACTCCCTCCCACAAGTATGTTTTCAAGTGAAACTTGCAACAGGAAATCTTTAATACTAACAGGCATCTAAACACATTGAAAGCCAGCTACCTACAAACACATGTAATGTACAGTGGCCAAAAGAGAAAATTTCACATCACAAAAAGGGGACGGGGGAGGGTTAAACATTCCTCCATTAGCACTAATCCCCCATTCCACATCTGCCCCACAGCTGTGTTGATTGGGGCCCTGGAGAAGACCTTTGCATAGCTATAAAACAGGAATATTAAGATATATTATTTTCATTAATGGCCATGTGCAAAATGACTGTCTTAACAGAGTTGGAGGTGGCCTTTTAAATTTACCCAAAAGGAGGGCAGGAGGGTCTCTCCAGAGAAGGAGGCTCCAGAGAACTCATAGAGAAGGGCTGCTCTGTCACCATCGAAAAAGGCCACTCGCCCTCCAGGGTAGTTCAGACACACCCGGATCCTCTTGAGCTCCCCACTCACGGTCAGGGTACCATCATCTATTGAAGCGTTGTAGCAGCCATCATATCTCCCCACTTCCCAGAACCCTCCCTCAGGATCAAAGGAGACCTCTCCCTTCCTGTCCACGGACCTTCTGGCCACCCCCACTGTCCATTCTTCCTCACTTCCCACAAGGACTTCCCAGAAGTGGCGGCCTGCTGTGAATCCCGCACGGCCCAGGACATAGGAATATTCATCAAATCTCTCAGGACTGTTGGGCAGAGCTTGAAAGTTTTTTCCTAGTCTCACACTTTTCTGGTCCTCAGACAAGATGAGTTCGGGATGGGCTGTGTCTAGATCCAGAGTCACATTTGCTGTTGGGGGGAAAAGAGGAGACTGAAGAGAAGCAGATTCAGCTGGGAGACTGTTATGTACTATATAAGGATTGCACACGCAGTCGGGCTCGCACGTGGTTAAGCGAACAAGCAAAGCTTCGCAACCAGAACAATGGACTCAGAGGATCCTAGTATGGACCAGTCAGTCAGCTCGGATCCTAAAAGGGACCTATGGTTATGGGTGCACTGTAACTAAACCAATCACGGGTGTTGGGTGTGTATATCGGGTGTGGCCGGTACTGGCGTTTAAGCAGGTCCCCGGGTCCTGCAAGTTGTCTCAGTTTTCTCGTGTCTCCAATAAATTATGAGCTCAGTCACTACAATGCATCTAGAACGCAGTACATTACAGAGACAAATGGTAGAGTTGTTGTAGAGTTGTTTCCCACACGCACCTGACACTATTGTTAGTGCCCCAGGTGTGTCTGTTCCTTGTGGATCTCCCTGATCTGACTGGTGGTTTGTTCTGTTTCACTTTTCTTTTTAGTTTTAACCCTTGGTTGGACTTGCACAGGTTTTCCTTCCTTCCCCTGTCCTATGGAAGGAAAAACAGGCTTCCTGGGCTTGGAGAGACAGCAAGAAGCCAGGTGAATAATCCCCATATCCTCTATCAGAGAAGCACTGTGAGGGAGAAGCACAGATCATTGTGTATCTCATCCACCACTAGGAACAAAATGAAAAATCACATGTGGAAGAGCACTTAACACAAAACACCCTGGTCACATGAAAATGAACCGATGAAGGAATGGGTTGAACTTGCAAAGCGGATCTAGTCCTGATCCTAGAGGTATCCCAAGAAATACATTCTGCTCAGATCATTAGGATTTCCAAGGGCCACATTCAGGATTCAGATTTTCTTCTCCTTTGGCCAGAATTTCTCCATCTATGATTGGAATGAGCCTGAAATCTCAGCAAAAGCTAAAAGCAGGTTGACAACGGAGTCACAAAAGAAGTCCTCCTCCTGTAATTATTTGTTTTAAAGTGTATATATCTCTCCTTTCCCGTAATTCCAGGTGTCTCCCTTAAAGCAAAACCAAAAGCAGCCCCCATAATAGTTTCTGTGCTCCACAGCATAGGGAACTTGGGGGATGGAAGGAGAGTGGGATCTACATTCCCTTGAAACTCTGTGCGTGAACCAGATACCCGTGACATACAGAGAGAACCAGGGGCTTCAGGGACCATGCTACGATTGACAGGACAAAAGGAAATACTTCTTTACTCAACTAGTGAGTAAAACACAGAATCTCCTGTCAGAGGATGCAGTGAGGGCCACGGACATAGAGGGCTTTAAAAGGGGGATTAGACGGATTAATGGAGGAGAGGTCTGTCAGTGGCTGCTACCCCTGGTGGCTAAAGGGAACCTCCACATCCACAGGTTTGGAGGGACAAAAAAGGAGTGTCCAGGGAATCTTATCACTGGAGAAAAGCCCAAGTAGAGGAACACAGACAGTAAAAGGAAACTTTTTAGTTTAGAAATAATTGATTTGTGCACGAAATGTACCTTTCTGCAGGTGAAGTCCAGAATCCAGATTGTCTGAGGAAGTGAATGGAACAGAAAACAAGCTGATGATCAGTTAACAATTTCCCCCCCTCCGTTTTAGCTGAAGGGTGAAGTGGCAGCCACTTCAGGGATGAATTCTGCCCCAATTTTGACTGGTGTGTAAATATTCAATTTCCTTTACACTTAATATGAGTTTGCTCCCTGTTCCTAATTAGGGCTGGCGTTGGACTGAGACCACAAAGGAAAAATGGATCACATTTGGCAAACTGACACTCAACCACTAAAGTTGACAAAAAGGTTATCCAGAATTATTTGACTTACTTCAGACTCGCTTCACGGAGAGTATGCTAAGGACTGCAGCCCAAGGATCCAATCCAGAGAAGCTTAGGATGTTTCCGCACAGAGATTTTGTTCTGGTTTGGCATCCAAACTGGAGTGGGCTTTTGGGGAGACTCACGCGATGTTGTCACCTAAACCTCCACTTTCTGAATTTCCACTGCTTTGACTCTGCACTTTCCCAAATCCTGTTTGATAATTTTTTTTTGAATGATCACAGTCAAAAGGTATTTTTTTCATGCTGTGTGGATAGAAAAGTGTGCCTTTCTGAACGCCCCACCTTTTCCTTGCCTCTCCCCCAGTGTCTGCCATTCTCCCCCCCCCCCCACACACACTACTTTCTATTCTACTAGTAGTTCCTCTGCATTCCCAGCTTTTATTTTTTAAAATTGTCCAAAGCTTCTTGTTGTGGAGACACAAAAGGAAAGGTGAATCCCTTATTTCTCTTCCATGAAAAGGCCTAGAGACTTTTTATTTAAAAATATTGTGTAAATGGGTCAATTATAATGTTATTGTGCTAGAGCTATTAAAAATTTTTTAAGGGTCAGGCTGCACATTTCCCCTTAAATCTATGCAATGAATTCTTAAAATTCTCATCTTTAAAAAACACAATTCTAAATCATGGAAACTTTTATGCTGCTAATATGTGTTAGTGATTAATCAATTAGCAATTAGGGGAAAAACCCACTGTGACGACCTCTTATTTGGGGAGGTCTAGTTTTACTTTAAAATGTTCTTTCAGTTTTGCTCTCAGGGTAATCTGGCCGCCACCAGGAAAATTTAAGGCTTTCCACACCTTTATACTAATATATTTCTTCTTCTGGTTTTGGTATTGTGACCCAGGGTCTGGGCTTTCGAAGGACTATGTGTTTCCTGAGGAATAAGGGATCAGGCTTCTGGGATAAACTCAAATAAAAAGGATTTATTTGAAGAACAGAGTAAGAAGTTGTTTAAACTGTAACTATTTTGGAAATAGGTATTTGTAAGTACTTAGGTCAACTGTATCACACTCTTTGTAACTTTGACTCTTTTTACTTCAACTTTTCATAACACAGGAAGGTCTCTCCTTCAGACCTCAGAATGAACTGCTTATCAACTGTCTTATTCAGCGCTAAGACATAGAACTTAACAACCCACACAGGGAAGCTTCTTCTTATGTTTCAACACAGAACTTCTGCTTCTCTCTCAGAAGTCAGAACTTAAACCATATCAACTGCTTTCACACAGCACTCTCCTCTGACTGACTGTTTAACTGTCATATCACTAACTCTTTAACTGTCATCATTAACTGTTACTTCTGATAGACATACAAATCATCCACACAGCATCCATTCCAAAACCCCTCCCCCTCTCTGTCACTCACCAATCATATCACTTGCCTGTGTCAATCACACTAAACTTTCATACAGCAATGTAAACCAACCTTTTAAAGACACACACACAAATAAACATGAAATCGTTACACCCACCTTAAACAACTGTGGGGAAAGGGGCAAAAGCCTGGAGAGCAACAGGATAGGAGGGGACCCAACTTGGGTGTTCTTGTCTGGATTAGAGAACGGAAGGGAAGAGGCCATCTCTGCACGTCTCATCCAGAATTTAGTCCAGAATGCTCAGCCCTCCTTTAGTTCACACTCAGCATAAGAACTTACTGATTTAGAACATGTCTCCAGGAAACTGCTCACGGCAGAAATCATTTGCTGAGGTAAATGTTCCAGAACTGTTACTAGCAGAGGTAAATTACTGGCTACGTTTCTCTGTCCTGACATTCTTCAAGATCTTCAAGGGAGCAAAGAAGGGGTTCTTGGTGGCCTTCCAGCCAGGCATTGGCTACCTTTCTTCAGACACAGAATTTCTCACAGTACCATCCTAGGCAGAATTACACCCTTATAAAGCCCACTGGTTCCAATGGACCCAGAAGGCGTCCCTCTGCTGAAGAGAGCACTGTCAGACCCCTGGAGACCATCCTGTCAGCTCAACTAGGACACATACAAGCAAATGAAACACTCAGTCTGAGTGGTGAGTTTTGAGAAGTCTGATCTGGCCACAGACACAGAAGGGGCAGGTTCCTGAAAGGGACTGGGAGGGCATCTACATTAAGTGAGGATGCCCTGAAGGGTCCACCTTCCTCCCCTCTCTTTCATTCAGGAGGCCTGTTCTGCCCTGACATCTCAGTTCAACAACACAAGGGCACAGGAATGACCAAATGATCTTAATGCGGAACCATTGTCAGAAAATCCAGAGAATGCAATTGTGTGCTAAAGCCACAGGGGGAATTTTGATCAGGAAAACATTCCATGAACTAAAATGGCCTTTGGAATTGGCATACGAGTTCCCTGCCCACCTGGCCCTGTGAGTGATACAAGTGACCTGGAAGGTTCCACACTCATATCTGGCCTCACCTCATGACCTCTCTGAAGCTGTTCTTTATTACCTTTCAGCTGCTTCATGACACCTTCCAGCGAGAGATTGATGTCACAGAAGTCCCAGATCCACCACTTCAACGCAAGAGGAAAAGTCACGGGATTCTCAAACCTCTCCTTTTCTTCGTACCTGGAGACAAACCATGTTAAGCTATCATCTGTCCAACCCAGAATTCCCACCAGTAGAGCAAAAAAATGAAGGCAGGAATACGCAGACACCAGTTGATGCCGATAGCATAGAAAGATGGGAGGCCCTTTGGAGTGAATCATAGAATCACAGAGTTAGCAGGGGCCCTACAGGCCAACTAGTCCAACCCCCTGCTCAGTGCAGGATCAGCCTAGAGCATCCCTGACAAGTGTTTGTCCCGCTGCTCCTTAAAGACTGCCAGTGAGGGGGAGCTCACCACCTCCCGAGGCAGCTGATTCCACTCAGCTGATTCCACTGTTGCACTACCTTACTGTCGAAAAGATTTTTCTAATACCCAGCCAGCTATGCTCCCTCTAAGCTGTGCAGTCTTGTGAGTAAAAATTCTACTTTGTGAGCTACTGGCATTAAAGTTGTGAGCAAGCGATTCTGCTCCTGCATAAATTAGTTTGCACTGGAGCCAAAAATGTGTGAGCTGGAGACTAAAAAACAGTGAGCTATAGCTCACACTAACAGTTTAGAGGGAACACTGCCAGTCGGTACCTTCCCGCCCTTAATCTAAACCCATTATTGAGAGTCCTCTCCTCGGCTGCCAACAGGAACAGCTCCCTGCCTTCCTCTAAGTGACAGCCCTTCAAATACTTAAAGAGAGCAATCATGTCTCTCCCCCCCCCCCCAACCTCCTCTTCTCCAGACTGAACAGTCACAAGTCCCTCAGCCTTTCCTCACAGGGCTCGGTCTCCAGGCCTCCGATCATCCTTATCGCTCTCCTCTGCACCCGCTCCGTTCCATCCACATCCTTTCTGAAGTGAGGCCTCCAGAACTGCGCACAATACTCCAGGTGCGGCCGGACCAGTGCAGTGTTACAGCGGGGCTATGACATCTTGTGATTTGGATGTTATGCCTCCGTTGATACACCTCAAGATTGCATTAGCCTTTTTTGTCAATGCATCACACTGGCTACTCGTATTTAACTTTTGGTCCACCCTTACCCCAAGATCTTGTTCACACACACTACTACTCAGAAGTGTATCTCCCATCCAGTATGCGTGTTCCTCATTTTTGTTACCCAGATGTAGAACTCGGCCCTTATCCTTGTTAAATTGCATCTTGTTCACATCCACCCACTTTTCCAGAGTGTTCAGATCTCGTTGAATCCTACATTTTCTGGTGTGCTTGCTGCTCCTCCCAATTTGGTGTCATCTGCAAATTTAATGAGTAGCCCCTCCACACCCTCATCCAGATAATTTATAAAAACACTGAAAAGTACTGGACCCAGGACTGAGCCCTGTGGCACCCTACTGGTCACCTCCATTCAGATGAAATGCCATTGACAACTTCTCTCTGGGTGCAGGAGAAGAGAGTCTATCCCCATGCAGTTACTCTTGAGATCTCAAAGCCACACATCTTAAGGACAAATCGGACGTCAAGAGGAACAGGGATTTTATTTTTGTCTAACAGCAGCAACCCTTTAACTGTGGTGCAGTGGTTAGAGAGCTGGACCAGGACAAGGTCAAGGTTCATTTCCCCACATAGCTCTGCAGCACGTCACATGACATCAATGCACTCAAAAGCATCCTTTCTTCTGCCCCTTTCAATTGCCTGAAGCTTGTGTGAGGCATGGGAACTTCAAGCCCAATAATGCCACATCATGCTCCTTCTTCCTCTAAAAATGCCTGGGGAAATGTACGGCAGAGAGGCAAAGTTTCCAATCAGCAGCTGTGAAATCCTCAAGTCTAGACTGAGCAAGAGCAACACCTCTAAGTGCCGTGTCGTGGCATGAATACTGACGGCACAGGCGCCAACTTCCACTTCCTCATGAGTAGCCTCCCTCACGGTGCACCCTAGACTGGGCGGAGTGGTCATCACAGAGCTTGATGCTCAAGTAGGCAGCCCAGATGCCAACCAAGACACGAGCTGAGCCCCATCACATTTACCACATGCCATTTTGTGGAACGGAAAGAGCTGAGGTGACTAAACTCAACCAGTGCATTCCCAAGGTTGGAGGGGCTTGTCTGTCAAGTGAAACCACCCCTGCTTCAGCACCAGAATTCTGCCAGAACCTTGCAGAGATGCACAGTCAGGTCTTAACCTTGACACCACCACCTCCTTGCTATTTGGGGGCATGGGACTGTGTAATAAGGGAATGCTTATTAAATTTTGCAGATGAGGGGTTGCAAATATGGAAGAAGACAGAGTCAGGATACAGGATGATCTTGATAGGCTGCAAAACTGGACTAAAACAAATAAAATGAATGTCAATGGGGATAAATGTAAAGTTATACATTTAGGCAGGAAAAATCAAATGCATAATTATAGGATGGGGGAGACTTGTCTTGGCAGTAGTATGTGTGAAAAGGATCTAGGGGTCTTAGTACATCATACACTGAACATGAGTCAGCAGTGTGATGTGGTAGCTAAAAAGGCAAATGCCATTTTGGGCTGTATTCAACAGAAGTATAGTGTCCAGATCACGTGAAGTGATGGTACCGCTTTACTCTGCTCTGGTTAGACCTCGCCTAGAGTATTGTGTTCAGTTTTAGACTCCACAGTTTAAGAAGGATGTAGACAAGCTGGAATGTGTCCAGAGGCGGGCAGCGAACATGGTGGGGGGGGGGGTCTGGAGACCAAGTCCTATGAGGAAAAGTTGAAGGAGCTGGGTATGTTTAGCCTGGAGAGGAGACGACTGAGAGGTGATATGATAACCATCTTCAAGTACTTGAAAGGCTGTCATCGAGAGGACGGTGCAGTTGTTTTCTGTTGCCCCAGAAGGTCGGACCAGAACCAACAGGTTGAAATTAAATCGGAAGAGTTTTAGGCTAAACTTTAGGAAGAACTTCCTGACAGAGTGGTTCCTCAGTGGAAGAGGCTTCCTCGGGAGATGGTGGGCTCTCCTTCTTTGGAGGTTTTCAAACAGAGGCTAGATGGCCACCTGGCAGCAATGCTGATTCTGTGAACTTCGGCAGATCATGAGAAGGGAGGGCAGGAAGGGCTGCATCAGTGCTTAGATCAGGGAAATGCTGATCGCCACATTGGGATCAGGCAGCAATTTTTCTCCAGGCCAGTTTGGCCAGGGATCCTGGAGGGTCCCCCCCTTCTGAGCATAGAGTGAGGGGGTCACTGGGGGTGTGGGGGGTATTTGTGAATTATCTGCATTGTGCAGGGTGTTGGACTAGATGGCCCTGGAGGTCCCTTCCAACTCTATGTTTCTATGATTCATCTGCAGTTTGCGATTTACAAACAGATGGAGATCTGCAGTCTTAGTCACATCTGTTGTGGTCCTGAGCCTGAAGGGCCACCTTCTTCACATGCTACCCAGATCCATCCCAGCATCCGGCGGGTAAAGGGGGGGGGACCACTTACCTCTGCAAGGTGCTTCGGACATCCTAGGGAAGGGAAAAGAAAGGGAAGTCGATAACTGCCATGGGACAAATTGGGAAGATCCCCACCTCCTCAGATCCTGGAGGGTGATGCATTCTAACTCCTTTTGTTGCATGTCCTACTCAAGGATGGGGGCCGGATCTTCAAAAAATGAGAGAACTTTTTCTTGAGGGAATGACATCAGTAGGCAAAGTGAAGCCGTTTCAGAGGAGAGTTGGGTGATCTGCTACAGAAGAGCTTGCATAGAGAACTCATTTCTGGTTGTCCTGAAGAGCTACTCACCAATCTCTTATTACTTGTATCTATTGCTCAAATTTATATATACACACAAACATACACCCACACTCAAAAATACACACGCTTCAGAGATTCCTCTATCTATCTCCTGTAGCTCCCTGACCACTCAACTAACGGCTACCCCTTCTTCTCCACTAATGCCACTCAAACTTCCTCTGGACCTTTGGTTAGTCACTAACTACTTAAAATGGTGCCACATTCCCTATTGAATGAGGGACGCACCAGCAAAGGGTACTTCAATGCCTTCCTGGAACAGAGACTTCAGCAATCTCCACCCTCCCCACACCACCAACGTTTATGAGTCACGGCCTCTTGATTCTCAGCCTGAGCAAAGGAGGGCTCCAGAGAAGAGCAGAAGCCGAGAAGAAAGGGTCTGGAGCCAGCCTCCCCCCAAAGGGGTGCCTGGGCTGTTCCCGCCACCTCCTCACCTGCAGGAGATCACCGGCTGGCTGCTGACTCTTCTCCTCCATCTCCCGGATGAGGCTTTCCAGAGAGGAGAGCTCCTCAGAGAGTCTGGCCAGGAGCTGGTCCCTGTTTTTTGCCACCTCCTTCTCCACCTCTTCCATCTGGGCTAGTAGAAGTTTCTCTTGTTCCTCCAGAAAGGTGTGCAGTTGCCTGAACTTGGCTACAGTCTCTTGCTTCTCTCCTGTGGTTTGCTTCTGAGAAAAGAGAAGAGAAGGAAAGCAGGCCAACGTCAGGGACATAGCTGGTCTCTGCAGTGGGAAGAGGCCCCTCAGGAGGCCCCTATCGGAAGGGCACTCTGGCCTTTCACAGAGATCACAGTGAACACAGGAAAGAGAAAGTTCCCCGAGGAGGACCCATCCTTAAGCCCAGGTGCCAGTTTACACATGAATCTCACTCAAACTCCTGGAGGGGTTATTTCAGCCACAGAGGATTAAGTCCATAGCAGAAGACCCAGAGAGGAGAAGGGGTTTCTTCAGACTGTTTGTTTCCCCACTAAAATGCCCTCCACACGCTGACCCCCAAACTTCCCAACAGGGGACGAGATACAACGGTTGAGTAGAAAGACTGCTGGGGAGAAAAGAGCTCCGAAGCCCGTTCTCCTCACTCAGTCGCCCTATCTAAACTGCAGCTTCCCTGATTGAATTTTGGGCAAGAAAAAAACAACTTTAGGTGAAAAAAAAAATCGACATGCCACTGAAATATCTCAAGTACTCTCCCCCTAAGAATTAGCAAATGCTGAACACCCCCAGCTCAATTCAGGATCGGTGGAGTGTCTATCTGCATTTCCAGGAAGCCTTTCTTTGTAGGTGGGACACCCTAATCTCTTTTCAGAGACTTCTTTTTGTCCTGTTGGTGCACACACACAAATGGCGCCTGGACACAGATGTTCATCAGCTGAAAATTCACCCCACAGCAGAGAGCGCCTTGGAAGGTCAACTGATTATGCCTCAAACAAAAACAGCAGAATACAACAACAAAATGTTCTAGACCTGGATGAACAAGCAGGGGCAGACTGCCCACCAGGTGGCCCTGGGTGATTGCAGGGAGCCCCAGGGGCACCAAGAGTGTGCAGTTCCGTGGCACCCCCAGCCCAGGTATAACTCTGCTTAGAACTGCAATGTTAAGTTTTATGAATATATTCTGATTGTACATCTTACTAAACTTCAATTTAAAAATTTAAATTTAAAAAAAGAAAAGAAAAAAGAACTGCAATGTTAAGTTCAGCTCTGGGGGCCTGATCTGCTGAATACTGACCATTTGTGAAGGAATGTCCAAATTGGAAGGGACGAGGCTCTTGCATGGGTTGATTTTTCTGCTATTTGGACTTTGTCTCCCCCCCCCCCCCACAATCCCAGATTCTCTTCTTTCCCCGA